GATTTATGTTCAAAGGCTGAGTTCCAAGGGCTGATGGGAATGTCTCAGCCTGAACGCCCCTGACCAAAAGGAAAAAGAGGCCTCATACATTTATTTTGCGGGCATCTGTGAGGATTCTCCAGTCTATTCTTTCAGTAGCAGAATTGCATTTTATGAAGCTATCCCTTTTCTGTTTCATCTGTCAAGCAGGTTTGCTGAGAATAATTTAAATTTCATGCAGCAGCAACTGCAGGGCACTGGTGCCCTCCTTCCGTTCTCACAAACAGGCCTGGCATGGAGCCATGCCTTCTCCTCAGAATTGCCCTCCCCAGTGCCCAGACAGCCAGTGGGAGTAGGAGTGTGGCGATGGCCCTGTTCCTCAGTTTCTCCTCCTGCCACATCAGAGGGGAATAGAATAGTTCCTTGAACCTCCCAGCAGCGCCACCAGGCTGACTTGCCCCAGAGGAAGAGCTATGCACATAGACCCAACTGCTAGTTGTATATATGTGTGTGTTTGTGTGTATGTGTAAGTATGTGAGTATACATGCATGTGTGTGCAGATACATGCGGAGGTCAGAGGCAGACATTAGAGATCAGAGGTTGATAATGAAGGTCAAAGAGGTTGGCATAGGAGGTCAGAGGTTAACACCAGTTGTTTTCCTCAATCATGCTTCACCTTAGGTTTTGAGACAGATTCTCGCACGGAACCTGGAGTCCCCCGATTTGACTAGATTGGCTGGATAGTAAGTCATAGGGATCCACCTGTCCTTGCCCACCTAGCACCGGGATTAGAGGCCTATACTGTCGTGCCTGGTTTTTTATGTGAGTGCCAGGGACCTACACTCAGAACACAGGAGGCGTTCCTAGCCCTAAAATGAGCTTTGATTGACTGCTTACTCGGCAGCACTTATCATTTCAGGGTTTCCTCCACACATTAATTTACATAACCCGAAAGTTAAACACACTATTATCATTTCCATTCTATAGATGCAGAATCTGCAGCCGCGCTTGCAAACGGCAGGACTCAGTTTCAGTCTGTCTGACCCAGAAGCTCCCGCCAGCTGTGCAGCGAGAGCTGACATACTCTCTGGCTTACATTTTCCCTTCTGTGACATGAGACGCAAACATGCCCATTTTCTGTCCTGAAATTTAGAGTTTATGGTCACTAGGTGGGCTGGTGATGGCAAAAGCTGCTGTCACCCTCTTGCAATCATGGTTTCCATGGTGAACGGATGCTGCTTTGCAGCCTGGGGTGGAGAGAGCCGGCCTAGGCTGGTTCTGTCTTAAGAAATTGTTATGTTTTCTCTGAGCCTCACTATTCAGAGCTCCAAAAATGGGGCTGGCTGGGTGGTCTCCAAGAAAGCTTGCCTTAGGCTCTGGCAACTCATAAACTCATGTCCTGGAGGTTGGAGAGCAATGGGTACGCGTTGGGGAGTGGGAAGGTTTAGCCTTCTAGACCCTCCTGGTCATCTATCTTAGTATCCCAAGAGTCCACGCTTAGCCAACTGGTCTTTCATCAAAATATGCAGGAATTCTTTAGGCCATGGACAACTGAAGACACAGAAAACTCAAATCAGGCCTGGAGGCGTCACGACAAAAAGAATTGTCATCTCCTTGTGACCCCAGTCTCTGGGAGCATGAATGCCTTTCCAGACAAGAGCCCAGCCCCTCAGTCCTGACAGAGCAAGGACTAGCACTGGACATCTGGCATGGAGAGTGTCAGGGACGCCCTGAATACCAGCGCAAGGGATGTCTCCAAAGGCCCAAGAGCTGTCCCTGTCTCTAAGTAAGCTTGTGTTCCTAGGAGTGATCCTGGCCCATGAGGAGGGACACTGGTCTTCTCCACCGAGAGCCAGGTCAGTGACTTCAAGCAGCCTAATACACTCAGGACAGCAGGAACTCAGTCCTGCTTCTGATTCTGTCATCATTTTTTCCTCCCCGCACCTTCTGCAAGGTGGCATCTATACTTCCCTTTGAGGATCGAGCCTTCTGGGCTGATGAAAGAAATGAGATCCCCTGCCTTGGTCACCTGCTTGCCAGGTGTGCTGATTCAGCTTCAGTTGGGATCCGAGAAGCCATCCCTGTCCATCACCTCTTCCCTCTCTCTTCCCCTGCTAGCTCTACTTCCAGGTCCTCCTGAATCCCAACCACTCAAGCAATTCCCTTCCCCACTTGCTCAGGGCTCCAGCCTCTGTGCTTTCTCTAAAGAACCCCCTCCACTTTCTCCTGGGTGGTGACAGAAAGGAACACCTCTCCTCACAGTAGGACAGTCTCATTCATCCAGGGCCGATGCCTGTTGACAGCGGTGCCTAGAGGATGCACCACCAGACAGTGCCTGTTCTGTTCTGAGCACTTCATGGAACTCCATGCATGCAGTCGTCATGGTGAGTCTGGTAATCAGGGAATACCACCCAGCCCTAGAACTGAGCCCAGAGGGATCAGACAGTTTGATCAGCATCACTCAGCAAGAGGTGAATTGGAATCAAAATTTAGACAGTTTTCAAAGCCTAGCTTTATCTACTCCATGAATTCACCACCACTGACAGCTTCAACAGGGGAGAGACCTGCTCACACGGTCACACATTCATGTATATACTGGACCCATGATTTCCCCAACAGCAAGAGTCTCTCCTCAGGGGCTGCTTGGTGAAGAACTGGCTGGTTGACCAGGGAAACGGCTGACAGACACCTGGGTTTAGCCTGGGTGTCCACTGATGTAATCTTGGCATGGGGGTAGACACACAGGCTAGAGGACAGGCATCTGAGCCAGCGGCAGCAAGTCCGCAGTGACAGGAGGCACCATTGCCGACACCAGCGGTTCTCAAGCTTCCTGACGCTGCGATCTTCTAATGCGGCGCCCTCACGTTACAGTGACCCTTCAACCATAAAATTATTTCCATTGCTACTTCATAACTGTAATTTTTCTACTCTTATGAATCATAATGTAAACCTCTAGGGTATCTGGTATGTGACCCTGGCGAAAGGGTCTGTGTTTGTGACACACAGGTTAAGAACAGCTGGCCTACATCTAAGGTTGGTGCCCTCAATTGAGATCGCCACGGGCAGTCCTTTTGCTACTTCCCCACCCCGTCCCTGCATACAATTCTCTAGCAACCCAAAGACCTCAGCCCCTAACCAGATCCAAACCCAACCCTGTGGGTATGAAACTGCGCAGAAATGCTTGCACAGCAGAGATGGCATCTAATCTCTACGCTGTCAGATGCCATGGGGCTGACCATCCTGGCAGGCCTGAACTTCCACCCTGTCTCCAATTATGAGTTGGCCACTGGCTCGGTCCCCGTCCCAGCTGTTCTTTCCTGTCTGCCGCTTGTTCTCTCCCTCCCATGTGGCTGTGCTTTGGGGTCTGGCTAGTGAGGAAGGTTAGTGAATAGTGAGCTATTTTGGAGCAGATCAGGTGCCATGTGTCCAGGGAAGGGGCGGGTCATCCCTTCAGAGAGCCAAGGGCACCGCCTTTCACCTGGCAGAACCCTAAGGTACGTACTCAGAAGCACTCAGTCCTGGCTCTAAGGGATGGAAGCCATCAAGCACGTCCGTGGGTTTAGCTTCTCTCTCACCTGGAGTCCTGGCTGTTGGCTCCAGAGGCCGCCAGTCTCCAGATGGTGAACAGCTGGCCTTGAAGACTGTCTGCCAGATGTGGCCAGCAGGGCTGGCTGGCAGCAGGCTATCCTGGACAGAGGTCACCAATTCATAGTGGCCAGGGCCTGATGCCCAGGACAGAAATGTGTTTGGCTAGCCCGGGGAAGTGTGCCCAAATAACCTTCCGTCTCCGCTCCTATCTGGTATTATTTCCCTCCCTGCCTTGGTGGGGTGGTGTTTTCATAACAAGAAAATAAAATCAATAAGACACTGCAGCAAGATGTCAGTGTGCTGCAAGCTGGCCTCCAATAGCTCCATTGTCTTGGGTCTCCGCCGGCCTCTGCAGCCAGCAGCGCTGTTATTAATGGGAAACAGGGCTGAAAGGGAGTTTTGAAAATCGTAGAGACAAAGGCACCGAGCACCTGGAGAGCATCGTCCACCACCACAGCTACCTCACAATGGTCAGCCTGGGGCTTCCCGCCTTTAATTTCTCCTGCAACCTTTCTGAAAGCAGGAAAAGAAAAGCGTGCGCACACACACACATGCAGCACACACATACACACCCACAGGCACACATGCAGGCCCCGAGATGGCTCCTGGGAAGTGGTTCTGAATGGCTGGCAGAGCAAAGATGGCCTGCAGAGCCTCTGCCCGGCCAAGGGGGATGACGGGATGAATGTGTTTCTTGCCTTGGCCATCAGCTATCCCTCTGTGGCCCAGTCTGCCTGAAGGGCTCTGCGCAGCATGCAAGAGGGGGCTTCAGAGCCTGTCCGTTCAGTCCAAAGCCAGTCAAGAGCCTTGGCGACGTCAATATCCACATTCCGTTTTACACACACTGGCTTTTGCCACCATTCCTGAGGTTTCTCGAATGGTCACTTGCTAAAATAGGTGGAGTGATCAGGAGCTAATACGTTGCAGGCATGAGTTCGGGGTCCTCACAGGAAGTGCTGTAACTACTATGTCTGGGGACCCTCAGCAATGAGGCAGGCATGAGTACACACTGACCTTACAGGGTTGTTGTGAGGCTCATGGGGACTGCAGACATGAGAATCCCCACCGTGGTAATGAATCAACAATGGGCTCTTGACCCTGGGTGGCTACTATAGCAACTCCAGCCACTGATGACCTGCCGGGGACTTACATGGTTTTAGCCCTCCTATTTAGGGAAATGAGTATTGGCAAGTTGGCAAGACTCTTGTATCGCTCATTCAGTAGCGTTCAATCAGTACGTGGTCTTCTGACAAGTTAGTTACATATTGAAATGTCTGGTAAATTGAGGTCGTTTTAACCTTCAGAAACAATGGCAACGCATTTCATGGAGGCTGTGACCGTGGTGACACCAAGCAGGGAGTAAGGCCTCCTCTGTGCTGACCTGGACTTGACTTGTTGCTTGGCTCCTACCCAGAAAGGATACCAGGTCTTACCTTGGTGGTGACTGCGGAGGCCGAGCTGGCCACGAGACTGGTGATGGCTTCATTGCTGCCCGTCGTGCAGGGAGCCGGAGCTGTGGCGGGTGTGGGTAGCCGGGAGGGCACCACGGGCAGTGGTAGGAGGCCTGGTCGTGCGCTGAGACTGCTGGCTGTACCGCCGCCAGCCCCGGAGGTGACACTGCAGACACTGGTGGCCCCGTGGGTCCCATTGACACTCCACTCACGGCGGTCCCAGCCTACACGGTAATCTCTTTCGAAGCGGCTATGGTGCCTGGACATCTCGGTGGGCCGTGGCAGTTTCTCACAGGGAACCAGAGCCCGGACCTGTCAGCACAGAACACAGGAGGGCCGTTTAAGTGAAGAGTAGCTCTGCCTGGCCACAGGGAGGCGGCCACCACCAGCAGCGTATGTTCTGCCTCTGCTCTGGGTTCACTAATGGGTTTTCAAATACTAGCCAGTCTCAGAGTTTTGGTAAATCCTCGGTTATTTATCAGTCCCACTTCTCAGATGATGCAGAATTGATTGTTCAGGAGCACACGGCAGAAAATAATGGGCAGGATTTGAACCTGGTTACTGTCAAGACATCATTTTTAATTCTGCCATGCCACCCTGCCCTAAGCAACATGAAGTACACATCTTACTTATGGCAGGGAAGCATCGCCTGCTATCCCCTCTGGGATAGAAGACCTCTGCCTGCACACGCGCCAAGCACAGGTCACATGACCCACGTGTGTGCTCTCTTTAGAGTGGTCACAGCCTTGACTGAAAAGCTCTTTTGTCCCGTACAGTACTGTGAGGTAACGGTGCATGGTCAGCCATCAATTTACAGACAAGGAGACACACAGAGAGCAAGGGATCCCCACGAGGGCAGGGAACCAAGAGGTCTCCAAAAGATGTCAGCTTCCAGGGGTCAAGTCCTCCCTGAAAATCCCAACCCTATGATTCAGAGCTACGCTTCTGGGACCTCAGAACTCTGGCCTCTACTCCCTGCATCTCCCACGCGGCTTCCTGAGTATATGAACAGAAGGCCTTTCAGGGTTGTCATGGAGACTAGACGCACCATGGGACGGGAAGGGCCCTCTGAGTCACCAAGGACTGTGTTTTGCTCTGCATCACTATGATAGTGCTGGCTTCTACCCAGGCAAGGACGAGCTACTCCAGTCAGGAAAGAGACAAGACTGTAGAGGGTGGCGAGGACAAAGGGGAAAGGGCATGGCTGTGCCAGGGCAGAGATAAGTGGCTGATGGTGAGGGATGCCCTGCACTTCACACCCACAGTCCGGGTTGTGCCTAAGGACTTCCTGCGTTTTGGTCCTATTCCATTTTCCATCCACGTCCGGACTAGGCTCCTGTCTTCCATCCTGCCAGCCCGGTTCTGAAGTTGCTGGCTACTAGACAAGGCATTTATTTTTAAAATGACTATAAAACCCGAGCTTCCACTGGTCTTTGCATAACTGTCTTCATTGTCCAGGACTTGTGCATGAGAGCCAGAGCCTGTAACCCCGTCTAGGAAACCTGCTACCAGGCTCTGCTTCTGTGGTGGCCCAGCTCTGGGAGCCATTCTGTAAGGTGCACAGAACAGACTAAAGGCAGCCTGGGCTGAACCTGTCCCCACAAGTGGCAGAGCTGATAGGTACCATTGAAAATGGATGTTGGTTCCCTTTTAGTGTGTCATTGTGTGTCCAGATTCATAAAATGCCACAAGAATTCATTTAAAATATTGACTTAGTATTCCACATTGAAAAAAATTGTTTCCTCTGTGCCTTTGGCCATCCTTCACATTTTCCAAACTAAACTTAGTTCTACTTTTTTGATTCCTGTCTGCCCTGGAACCTGGTCCCATGTGGCCCCTGATGTGTCCACCCCAGAGGAACTTGCTCTTGCTGAGGTCACAGATGACATATTTAAATCCTCTGGAATATGAGGAAAATAATATTTCCTCCTCATTATTATTCTTTAATACTCTTTCTGGGTTCACCCCTGCTCCCCCACTGTTGAATCTGGCTCCCCTTGGATGATCCCACTCAGCAACTCCCCCTTACCCATGTCACTAAAAGCTACTTTCCCAGGGGTGCCCCTTTTAAGTATGTCCCTACTTTCCTTTAGCCTGCCCGGTGCCACCTGTCCACACTTCAGGTTCCTAAATGGCACAGGTCCCCAAATCAGCTTATTATTCTTCAGCCATTCTCATGAATGTCCTGCCTCAGAGACAGCCACCGTCACAGCTCAGGGTGGGTATCTGAGATCCTATTACCCCACAGGCTGTCAAATCTGCCCCCATCTGCTGGAAACTCCCTCTATGTAATCTTTCCATGTCAACTATATCAGCTTGGCTTCCTACACCCAATCCTGCCTTCTTACCCACTGCATTATTTTGAGATAGGGTCTCCTTATGCTGTTCAAGCAAGCCTAGAATTCTCTGTAGCTCAGGCTGGCCTAGAATTCTATGTAGCCTAGGCTGACTTCAAGATTGCCTGCTCTTTTCTACCTAGCTGTCCCCCCACCCAAGAAAGGGTTTCTCTGTGTATCTCTGGCTGCCCTGGAACACACTCTGTAGACCAGGCTGGCCTTGAACTCACAGAGATCCGCCTAACTTTATCTCACTGAGTGTTGGAATTAAAGGCTGGTGGTATACCCTGCCTTTAATCCTAACACTCACGGAAGAAGAGGCAGGAAGATCTGTGTGAGTTCAAGACTAGTCTACAAGAGCTAGTCCCAGGATAGGCTCCAAAGCTACAGAGAAACTCTGTCTTGAAAATCCAAAAAGCATGTGCCACCATTGCCTGGCCACACTATTTTAAAAGCACAAACCCAGTCATTATTCTTTCCTTTTCCATGCACAGAGCCCATCCTTTTGAATAAGGCTCCAACTCTCCCTGATGTCGCAGAAGACACTGGAGAGTTTAGACTGGCCCATTGTTCTACCACCTTTTCTCACTCCCAATGCAGAGGCAACGCCCACTCATCCATCATGCAGAGCCTGTCATGGAACCATACCTAGCGCTTACTATTTTGTAATTGAACATTTCCACACAGGACAGACACATCTGTGTGGAAGGGGAGCTCTCAGACATCAATCCTCGAGTCTCCTGACTGGCAGTTTGGAGGCACTAAGTTAAAAAAAAAAATGGCCTACCTTGTCAGCAAGTAGGACTTGAGCCTCCAAGAGTAGTTCTGGAAGATGAATCTACATTTTGAGGGTATACTTGACCTCATAACTTGGGCTCTTGTCTCTCCATTTTGCTCAGCAAGGCAGAGCTCTATCAAAGGCCACAGTCTTGGCATAGTGCTTCCCTACGCTGGGTCTAGGGTGGGCAGAGACTATGCTATGTATCTATGGCGCCATGTCCTCTGTTCTCATCCTAAGCACCTAGGAATAGCTCTCCCAGATACCCTGACAGTACGTTAGGGCCATTCATCTTGCTCTGGCAGACGAAAAGACTGGGTAGTTAATAGGATGCTTTCCAGACCCTGTCCTGTAAAAGTGTATCTTCTTTTGGACTAGTAAGATGGCTTCTTGGGTAAAGGAACTTGCTGCCAAGCCTGGTGACCTTGACTCAATCTCTGGGTCTCACTTGGTGAAAGGAAAGAAATGACTCCTAAAAGTCTCCTCTGACCCGTACACGTGCACCACAGCACGTGCAAGCATCTGTGAGCCTGTGTGTGTGACCTTGTGCACACAAACACAAGTAAGTGTAATAAGAACTTTGACGGTATCTTCTTTTTAAAATGTGAGTGTGTCCATGCTCAAGTGCTCACACAAGTGTGTGCACGTGCATATGGCAGCTAAAGGGTCAGCTCGTACTTCATCTTCAGAATTGCCATCCGCTTCTTTTGAGGCAGGGTCTGTCACCAGGCTGAAGCCCACCACTAGGCTACGTCTGCCTCTCCCGCATTGGTATTACAAAGGAGCACCATCACACTCGGTGGGACTGAACTCAGGTCTTCTGCTGCAAGACGAGTGCTTACACCAACTGAGATATCTCCTCAGCTCCCACCTCAATATTGTCTATGACTCCATGGTTCCCTCTGCCACCTGGCGACCTTAGAAGTCACATCTTCAAGACAGTGCAGCTGTTCCCTAGCAGAGGCTGCCCCACCGGCGCCAGGTTTCACAGGATTGGGACATAAATCTATATCACGTTCAGATACTTAGAGCGGCAGTCTACCTGTTACAACAGCAGAACGTCACCTAGCCTGACTATTACACTCAGTCAACCCCTGCATTTCCAGATAACAACACAGCCTCATCTAGCACAGAAAAGTCATTTCTTCTCAGGCGGCAGAGAGGCTCAGGGAAGTCAGGACCCCTGCACCAAGATGTGTCTGAAAGCTGCTGAGAACTGGGGGTCGGGTCAAAGGGATCTCGTTGGATGTAGCTGCTCACCTCAGGGACCATGTGCTAGGCCCCACAGTTCCAGTGTGGAAGAGAAAAACAAGACCCAACAATGCGCAGCCCCTACCACCTCCAGCCTTTTGCCACCTCTTCCAGTCTCCTTCAAATGCCAGGGAGGAGGTGGCGACGCAGGCAGCTGGAGGCCACACAATCTGGTTTCGGTCTCATTAAGTGTATTCAAAACAAAGGTCAACTATTTGCATGCAAGCACTTGGGTCAGACCTCATTCCTCAGTTTTATTTCCCCTTTCAAACGAATGAAAGAAACACATTGCAGCTTACTCCAAGCCAGTGGGCAGTGAGCCAGCTCCAGAGGTGGCAACATAAGTATTTCCTGCTGGGCATGGAGCCAGCGTGTGTCAGAGGTCTCGTGTGCACATACACGTGTGCCTATATTGTACTGCAGGAGGCACAGGAAGTACCTGCGTGGCGGATGGAGGCCCTGAATGGATACAGTGCCTAGGATCAGCCTGGTTAAGCCATTCCAGACAAAACACAGAAAAATGCTTCCTTGTTGAGGGCGTGCCCTTTCCTGGCAGGCTGCCTGGGCACTGGTGGAGCCAAGGCACAGGGCCCTGCACCAGGAAGCGAGGTTATGAGCGGCCACCCCCTTGCCTTTGGTGTGGAGGGGACAGTTCACAGAGAATCCAGGTCTTATACCTGGGTGAGGGAGTGCCTTGCCAGAACCTGTTTTTGTGTGACACACATGTGTCAGAACCTGTTTGTGTGACATACACATGTGCTGAAAAGGCTCTGAGGCCGAGAATCACACCTGTAATTCTAGCAATGGGGAGGCTGAGGCGGAATTATCGCTAGGGGTTTGAGTCTAGCCTGGGCTACATAAGGAATTAAGGGCCAGCCCGGCTTATCTTGAAGGGAAAGAACAGAAAAACAGCGAAGAGTTAAAGAGTCGGAGAAGGAGGGCCACAC